TTTTTAAGAACTCTGGGCTCAGAAGCCATTTTATTTAGTTAGTTTTTTTGTTTTGTTTTGGTATGGGGGATCAAACTCAGGACCTTGTACTTGCAAGGCAGGTGCAGTACCACTGAGCTAAATCCCCTGCCCTAGAGAGGTGATATTTAACAGCTACATAAAACTCACTTAGGCTTTCTGGGTTATGCCCCCAGCATGCATGCTTAGGAAAAACACACTTTCAGGAGAAACCAATTATCTTCCCATCTCCTTTTCCAGGAAACTATTGAAGGATGTACTGACTAAAGAATGTGCTAAAAAAGAGGAAGACAGGGATTTGAGGAAACAGGTGACCACACAGGAAGGGGGTGAAGGGAAATCCCAGGATGATGGCAAAGGGAAGTCCCAAACAACAGCTGTGCAGCAAGAGTAAAGAGAAAGGAGCCCAAAGCAGAGAACAAGAGCTCTGGAGGAATGTCTTCAGAAAAGGATATTAAAATTTAGTTATCTGATGAGTTTAAAAATATGAAATAATGTATGGAAAGCCACTGTATCTAATCAGAAGAAGATATGGTAGAAACCTTGAGGTTAAATTAATTAAAAAATTAATCCTGGGGCCAGGAATTTAGCTCAGTGGTTCTGCCACCTGCCTCCCAAGTGCAAGGTCCTGAGTTCAATCCCCAGTACCAAAAAAAAAATTAAGTAATCTTGAACTCCAGGAAAAACAAAAAGTGATATAAAATAGGAAATGAAAATAGTGTATATCATTTGGCTTAGAAATGAACAGTCATCAAGGATAATGAAAACACTGAATATGGATGTAACCAAACTTTATAATTATACTGAAGAAATATGAGAGCTAAAGTGCTCATCTACTATAATAAAAATGAAGTCAATTACACCAAAATTATAAACCAAGATATGTAACATATGACTAACATTTAGAACTATGGTAGTAAATACTCAAAGACACATCTCGAAGAATTGAAAGTAAAGACCCTTCCCAACCTGCAACTATACTACAAAGCTACTGTGATAAAAACAGCATGGTACTGGCAAAGAAACAGACTTGAGGACCAGTGGAACAGATTAGAA